GGGTACACATAGAATTTCGTCCACCCCTTCCTAGGGATCCATAAGCCCAACTTGCAACTATCATATAATTGTAATATCAGTCCCCGTAATTTTATCAGTCACTTTTGATCACCAAATTAATTTCTCATCAATACTAATTAAATAATATGATTTCTCAATTAATATATTATTCTTATAAAATATTAATAAATCACAATTAACCTATTTCTCCATAATTCATCCTATCAAATTGCTATGGTGAAGGCAACCTAAAAGGATCATGTTACTATCGGGTCAAGTACATACCAGTTATAGTTATGGGCTTAGACACCTAATCCAACAGTAACAACGTCTGGTGCAACTCGGGCCTCCTTGTCCGTCAACTGAAATACTCTACTCTTCACCACATGAGCCTCTGCCTTGCCCTCCTGGCAACCAATAATCCTCAACATAGCTGGAGCGGGTCCCCTCGTCGCTCCTCCAGATAATCTCGGGTAATCAGCAGTTTGTGGCCAGTCTAATTGCAATGGAAACATATAAGTGCTCCCCAAGTTTAATCCCTACTATAATGACCCACCTGGCTGAAATTAAAGCAACTTCCTCCCTTCTCATGACAGCTCCCCTCATGTAGCCTCCTACACTTGGCACAACGGGCCCGTCCATGTCGGATTCTCAATCGAAAATAAAAACCCTTGGGATTCTCTGATGCGCCCTTAACTATCTGACCCTGAGATGGCTTCTGCTTCGACCAAAGCTCCAAATCAATCTCCCGCTCCCATGCTCTGTCAATCATGTCCTCTAGAGTCCTGCATCCCGACATGCTAACAAACTCTCTGATATCATCCCTCATCATGGCATGATATCTCGTCTTCTTTATCTCCCCATCAGCCACATACTGCGGAACTAATAGAGCCATCTCCCTGAACTTGGGGGTAATCTCCGCCACAGTCTCTGTCATCTGGCCAAGGTCCTGGAACTCCCTCGCCAACTGATGCACCTTAATAGTAGGTGCAAACTCTGCTTTGAATCTAAAAACAAAATCATGCCAGGTCATGGCCTCAATAGCAGGCGCTCCCAGAGTATGGCTAACCTCCTCCCACCAGTCACGAGCTCTGTCCTTCAAATATAAGCATCAAACCTCACCTTCTCCTCCTCAGGGAAAAATCTCGTCCACTGAGCACTCTCCATGTCCACAATCCATCGTCTATTGGAAACGGGGTCCTTCTTTCCGAAGAAGTCAGGGGCCCACAAGATTTAAAGTCTCAAAAAGTGAGAGTTCAGGTCCAGGACTGCTTGGCAGCCAAGTCCGCACGGAAGACCCCTAATTGCTCCTCCAGTAGCTCAATAATCCAATCCTTGATCGACCCGAAGATAACAGGGTTCGCCTCAAGGACACCTCATATAATATCAGACACGATAAACTCCCACAGACAAGCATCAACAGGTTCAGCACCAGAGCCTGAACCTAAACCTGGACCAGAACCGCCTCCATGATAAGTCATCACCATACAGAAAAATAACAAAAAAAAGGTTGAACGCATACTCATAAAACTCCTTCCTTTAAAAGATCGATAGGATTTCCAAAACTTTCCTTGATTTGAGTATGGATCATGTGCTTTTAGTAGTACGAGCCCATACTACCTTACACACATATCCATACTTTCCTCAAGAATCATCATGAATCCCCTAAGTCACTATCCTATGACTATACTCATGCGTCCTCATTCTAAACAACGCGTACAACTACACTAAGAGACTTCCTATGCCCTCCTCGGATTCCCTTCTCCATGCTCGCTGAAAGAGCCTCTCTTGACATCGACGATCACCCAATGAATGCAGGTCGTACATAATTACAATAAAAAAGATGCTTGAATAAATGTCTCTACCATAAGGCTTGCATCAAACAAGAACATGCAATTTGGCTGAATCAAACATTCTAAGGCTATTTAGTCTTAACTATGTACTACCTTAGAGCATTCATCAAACAATTGTCAGTATTAGCATAAACTCTAAAGCTTATATCTACATAACTAGCATATAAAGGCATCTCTCTATCAATAATTTTATCATGTAACCTTTAGCAGAGCCTTAGCCCTATAATAGCATGCAACTCACAAAATAGTATATTAAAACATAACACTCATGTATGGGTATTTTGGGAATCACTTACTTGAACTCGGCTAATTGCATACTTGACACCCCTTTTTTGTAAAAACCTTTTTTAGGAAAAATTGTTTTCTTTTAAAAAAGATTTATCAAATTCTCAGTTTGAGTTTAGACACACCCGAAAGATGTGCCCGAATCCCTCAAACCAAGGCTCTGATACCAACTTGTAACATCCCAAAATACTATTAAAATTTTCATTTTTAAAACACCTAAAAACAATTCAATCATTTGTTTCAAAACCAATCAATAAATAAAGTATTCACAAACGTCAGAGTGAATCAAATAGAAAGTGTGAAATAAACTCTAGGGGATGTTGTGCAATCAAGTCGAGCCCTTCTCTTTGGAGCCAGAAGTACTTGAAACATTTAAACTACAAAACTGTAAGCATAAAGCTTAGTGAGTTCCCCAAAATACCATATAACCATACAAACCCCACATATTCAATACAAACGGGCCTCGCCTAGCATACATTTCGGGACCTGCCCATCATACATATCGGGCCCCGCCCATCATACATAACTGGCTCCACCCAACATACATGCAAGAGTCACAATGACAGCTAGATCCTACATAGTATAGTAAAAAGTCTAACCTAACAAATGTAGTCAATAACTAATAGGCTCACACAGTAGAAAAGTGGATGTTACACATCTCCTATTGAATCATACAAGGTAAACTCTTAGTCTACCATCTAAAACTAGCCATTTGACTAAAAGTCAACGGTCAAAATCAACTCCAACTGTCTTCTACATTGTGGCCAACCAATGACCATCGTGGTCATTCAATTTAATCCCGATCAAAATCCATTTTTCACGTCGTAGCAGACATGATACCACACCGTGGAAGAATCTAGACAACATAGTCGCGCCCACGCTACTCTCCACGTCGCGGCAAGCAAGTCGTCACGCCATGTAAACTGAACAAGGACAGCTTCATAGATTAAACTCTTAACTCCCAATCCTGAGAGCTCCAAAGCTCATATCTGAATCTCTACAAGGTCTTGGTGGATAAAGTTTTCAATTTTATCCACTAAGACACACCAATATGTCAAGATCGCTACTCTAAAGTTCCTAATGATCTCACCAAAGACATAGACACCACTGTAAAAGGTTATAATTTTTTTTAATTATTATTGATGATTTCACGAGGGCTACATGAGTTTATCTTTTAAAAACTAAAGAATAAAATTTTTATTGTTTTTCTTCTTTCTTTAATATTGTATTTAATTAGTTTGAAAAAGCAAAGACCTAGCCACATCAAGAGGGGATTCATTTCCAGTTCCAAATTGTAATTTATCTTTTAAGATATTCAACGTTTGATCAGCAGGATGAGCTAAACACTTATTCAGACTTCATGTACTGAGTAAATTTCAATCGAAGAGTTAGTTTTTGTTAAATGATTTGCAAGAATGTAAAAAAGTTATAAGCTCACATACTTATAATATGAACAGTTCAATCTTATTTATAAACAAGAAAAATATAATGAACATAGTTTAATACATATCGATGGAAGGCAAACGGGCAACAAGCTGCGCCGCTAGCCCTTTCTGGATGGCAAAACCAATTCTTTTGAAAACAACATTTGTGGATCTAGGAGATATGACATTAGAATGCATGACCCGTTGGACTCTATTGAGGAGCTCCACCGCCTCTGGTGCGAGAAAGCCAAATGTATCGAACGCAAAAGGTACAAACACATGTTGATTTTCTATACATGCATTCTCGTGCTTTACCACTTTGCACGCAACGACTTTCAAAGCGGCATGCCCTGCTGTGAAACCCCCGCTCCCCAAACCAACGAGAGGAGAGACCCCAGTAAGATCCACGCACGCATGTTTCCCTCCTATCCATCCAAAGACCAAAATGTCAGCCGGTCTAAGTGTGGACCTACCATCCTGCGGGTCCGTCAAAAAATTCACCGGCGCTTCTTTCTTCATAGAAATACCAGCACGCCGACAAGCATCAAAGAGAACATCCCGAACCATATCATGTCTGTACTTGAAACCAGGAAGCTCTCTACAATGAACCGTGTGTTCCCCAAAGGTATCCAAACATGTCTTGCGGCAAACTGGGCATATCTCGTCAATCCTAATACTACTCTCAACCATTCTAACTCTCAAAGTAAATTTATTAAAGAAGAAGAACACAAAGACCATCGAAACCGTAAGAGAAAGCCCTAAATATATTTGTATCAAGTGAGAGAGAGAGAGGAACTGTGTGTGTGAAATGAGCTGTGATAATCTATTGAATGACCCGTCTCCACACCTTCTTCAAATATATAGCCGAATCATCTAATAACCCATAGGTCAAAAGATACGCGCGTCCTTCATCTCCAACTTTCCTAAAAGGCGAGCAATAGTCCATGTCCATTACTTATAAGATATTACAGTCTTCACCCAGACTCAACATTTCTTTTTTAATACATTCAGAAGATATTACCAAAACAACCTTGTTGAAAGACAATACATACAAAAACAATCTAACACGAAATATAATGGAAATGTTAAGTTTGTAGAACAAAGCAACCACATATTTCAACAAAGAAGAAACCACTGAACCACCACAGCTGTTTAGAGGATAATTAAAAAGATGTACACCATAGTTGTCAATAAAAAATGATCATAAGTAACAGCTAATTAAGAAGTAAAAATTTTGGTACTTTGTGCGGCTTAACTTTCAGTGGAAATAATACAAGGAATCTGCAGAGCACATTTCCAGTTCCACTTCCAGGTGGATCTGGTTTGGGCCCCACTAAACTGTCCTCACAACTCTTGTTCCTTTTCAAAACCCAAAAAACAATGCCAAAATCATGTAATAACCAAGTAATTATCAGATTACTAATAAATATTACATGGATTAGTTTCCACAAATGGTAAGATCTTTTTTAAATGGTCTAAAACTCAAAGCAAACATACTGTAGATACAAAGATTTGCATGTAGGGATTTAAGAGAAAACTCATCAGAAGTGGTTATGAAACCAGGCACGTTGCATTGTGGTGAACTACTTGCAATCAAACTGGCCCTACACGTGTTCATAACAGCAGATTCTCTAGCGCAGTAGATCCCATCCACAGAAGGTATATCCAGTCTGTACACACCATAGCGATTGGTAGTCTTGTTTACAGAGACTGATATCTGTTCAGCTGTTCTTGGTGAAACTGCATTGAACTTGCAGTCGATCCTAACCTCTGCCCCTGCAATCAATTATATAGAATTAAATCAATCAGTCTCTGTAAAATGAAATTACAATCTAATTGAAGATTATTATTAACGAAGGAGAAGGTTGGACAAAAACCTGACAAGAAGTAGCTGTGATTGTTGTTGAAAGAGTTGTTGGAACAGGCATCACAGTAGACCATGCCCATCACACTGATGTGAGGTATACTATGTCTTGAACCTTCAAGTTGCATAAACATGGAGGTTGTCACTAACAGAATGAAGATGACGGTTCTTGGTTCCATGATGATGATGACGATGATATGGAGTGTGTGTGTGTGTGTAAGTGGTGTATATATATAGTATATGTGGTTGAAGATGATGCTGGATAGAATGGATAGAGGGACATGTGGAGTCTAAAATGAGATGGGGAAAAAGAAAATTTTCAAAACAAAAAACACGTGAATGTGTTTTGGCTGGATGTGTTTTTTGCTTAATAAAGAAAGAAATAATGTTTTGTTGTTTATGGAATGTCCAATCTGCATCTTTATTTGGTTGTAAAATAATATGATTAATAATGGAGGGTCATGAATGACATCAATTGGAGAGTAATGATGGTCATGGGAATCCAGTGAAACTGGAGATGGAGTCATGTCATAGAGATACGGGATCATTAATTAAGGCTTTTGAAGTTTGAATGTGATCACGTGGCCCAAGACCCCCCTTCTACTTAACAGGCCCATTTCCGATAAATCGAATGGTTATAACTAATGTCATAAATGTGAATATTTATTTTGTATATAAAACTTTAATGTAACATATGAAAGTTAAATTATCAATACTATATAAAAATCAGTTGAATAAAATTGGTTCAATACATCTATTTCTCTATTTTATCTTTTAATGTAAACTAGTGAGTGAGCCCGTGGTAAAGGACGTGTCAGTTTTTGTTTGTTGGAATAGCCTAATAATCTATCTAATGTATTCATATTTTCTAAAACTAAAAGAACTGTTTGACCACAGTCGTTTACATATGGAAACTTACCATATGTCAAATCAGGTGAACCACCGGTTATAATAGAAACTTACAATATGTCAAAAATTTAGAGACACTACACCAACTTGAAATCCAATATCAACAAAATAGTTGTTCAAACGGACATTTAGAAAGACATACATGTTCAAATATTGCAAAATGGAAATTAAAAAAAAAATATATTGTTGATGAAGTAAATTTCATGAGTGCCCTTGCCTTATTTTTCTGTTTTTGAAAACAAGAGGATCAACACTTGAAGAGGATCCAAATCTACCAAGTCTGAACTACTTCTTGTCATCTTCTTCGATGGGTGTTACTTATGTGATCACAAATTTGAAAACAAAGAATATAATGATATGATTATATGTCAAAATAATATCTTCTTTTTAATTTATTGTGAATTATTATTATTTGATGATATGGTCATAACAACCTCTATGTTGCAGCCTTCTTTTTCAGCTCTTTCACTTCCTTTGTGGCACCAGAACCTTTCGAGCCAAGTGCAGTACCAAACCTGAAGTACAAAAAGTCATTTTCATTAAGTAAGAATAAAAATTGTTGAAAGTACAAAATTCTAAAATAAGAAGTTAATTTTATACAACTTTTACCGACTTTTTGACATAAACTATGAGTGAAACCACATAGACGTATGACAGTCAAAACCATCTACATTTTAATAAATCAAGATATTTGTATTTAAAACCGTAGTTAGAAATAGTTACACAGTTGATCATATTTTTAAACAGACATAAAAAAATCTATCGTAACTTTATGTTTGTTTTTTTTTCTTTTTGTTGAAAATAGATGCCTCATATTGATATTCAATACAAATATTGCACATTTTCACTTCCTGATGGGTCCTTAACTCTTTTGGCACTAAAAATTCAAGAAAAGTTAATTTAACTGTGTTAGATTTCATCAAGCCAAATTTAAAAAAGAAGTGGGAGGCTACTAAGGTAACATGACCAGAAAGTTCCACCTGGATAGAACAAACTGAGAACATAATATTTCTAACCTGAAAAAAAAAAGTTAATAGCACATTAAATAAAAGTTAAATTCAAGTCAACAGAATGTCAATACACACGGGGTGTCACTGGAAAAAAGATAAATGTAATGCTTGGTATTTCTCCACGGTATTATTTATATTTTGGGTTAATTATTTGTTTTGACTTGGGCTTGGATCCATTGGATCCTTATTATTTTTGCTTAAGGGTGTTGTACGCTGGGCGTACCACCCTATGTACGCGCAACGTACTAGTATGAGATGATCGCGCATGCCATGCACGTACGCGTGCAGTCCCCAAACCCTAAATTTTAGGGTTGAGCACTATATAAAGAATATTATGTCTTAAAGACCATCCTCCCTCTCACCTTTAAGCAGTTTCCACAAAACCCTAATTCATATATTATGTGTTCTTGTATTTGGAAGGCCTCTTGAGAGAATTCTTGGTGTTTTGATCCCTTCTCCAAGGAAGTGATGGTTGAAGCAAGGTGGTGGCTCAAAGGAGAAGGTGTAGATATGGGATTGTTGCTTCATTTCAGATCTTTTTAAGGTATAAAGTCTTGAACTTGCCTTATGAATACTTAGATCTCTTGAGTTGAGTTTTGAACCTCTTTGGTCCAAAGAATGAAGCTTTATGATTTAAAATTGTTTCCTAAGCTGAGGGTTGCCACCCTTGGTGTTACGAGAGTCCCTAAGTTAGAAAGTTGCCATCTTGGAAGTCTTGTTGCATCCATGCATGAGTTTTATCCATTTTAAGGAAGTAGGTTGTAATATTTTTTAGTTTTGGGCCCATATGGGGGCATGCAAGCCGCCAAGTAATCGACTTTATGGGTTCAGACCCTTCAATGGACTCAGATCTGTGTTTGGAGCTCCAGGTCTTAAGGGATTAATCTCTTGTTGGTATTTTGGCTTAACAGGAGAGTACGCTGGGCATACAAGCCCGTACGTGCAGCATACACGCCATGAAGCCTATACGCTAAGCGTACAGCTGAGTACGCCCTGCGTACTCCGTGGTTTTGGTTGGCGTCTTTTGGGCCTCGGTTTGGGTTGTTTTCCTTAGGCATATACTTTGGGCCTTAGTGGACCATCTGGAATCGACTCTTTGGGTTAGGAAAACGTTTTTGGGCCTTGGGTTAGGGCCATGTGAAGGGATTGGGCCCAATTGTAAATTGGGCCATATGTTGGGCCTTGTGAGAATAATTATCTCTTTTGGGCCATTGGTTATGATCTAGAGTTTCTTTTGGGCAAGGGTATGTTAGGGGTAAAAGGGTATTTTACCCTAGTGAGATCTTATGGTTAAGTGATTTGGATCCCGAACTTAATTAGCTTTAATTGTCAATTGATAGCTCTGGGAATCGTAGGACAAGCAGTCGGGGATCATCCATATTATTTAACTTTGCAAGGTGAGTTTCCTTACCGGGTTTACTGGGTCGAAGGCACCAAGGTCGGCCCATGTTTACATTATGTTGTTAGTATGCTAGTTATCTCCGTGAATCTTGCATGTGTTATGTTTATATGTTTTTCCGGGTCAAGACCCGATGCTGGGTGGGGCCCGATGGATATCTGTATGCTATGTATCTCTGTGATTATTGCATATGTATGTGTTTATTTGATATATGTTATTGTATGTTGGGCGGGACCCATTTTACCGAGCTCAACTCGATGTCGGGTAGGACCCGATGCCGGACGGGGTCCGAAGCCGGGCGGGGTCCGATGACGGGCGGGACCCACTATTTGTTATTATATGATTGGTATGTGGTATTTTGGGGGAACTCACTAAGCTTCGTGCTTACAGTTTTCAGTTTATGTTCCAGGTACTTCTGGTTCCAGAGGGAAGAGCTTGGGATGACTGCATCGCACACAACATTAGGATTTTGTTATGATGTTTTACTCTGATTTATGACAATTGATAATTTTTGGATGATATGGAAACTTACTATTTTATCTAATATTAAATCGATAATTTTTGGGACCATATTTTTGGATATTTCAAGTTGGTATCAGAGCCTTAGATTGAGGGATTCGGGCACATCCTCGAGTGTGTCTGAACTCAAACTAAGGACTTGGTGGAAATTTTCAAAAAGGAAATAACTTTTCATAAAAAAAGATTTTTAAAGGGAAAAGGGTGTGGTGCATGCAATCATCCGAGCTCAAGTAAGTTATCCCAAAATACCCATGCATGTTTATATATGATATGAATTGTGAAATGTGAATCACATGCTAGAGTAGGGCTAAAGATCTAGGAGAGATGCCTTTATATGCCTGTTATATGAGTTTATAGATTGAATGCTAGTACTGATCAGTCAGTGATACGATGGCCTGATTAAGTTATGCTTAGTTTTGTTTACTTGATGCTCGAATGTTGCTTGCTCTGTGCTTTTAGGAGTTCTTGCTAATCTCAGCTAGTTACTAAGCAAATATGCTAAGTTACATATTATGGAAACTAAATAATTTCAGAAGGTTAGTGTTAGGTCATATACGTTGCATCAATGTGTATTAAGTATTTAGTCTGATTTTGTATAGCGGGTTGGGCCTGTCCACCCGTTATTTAATATTAGAGTTTTACTATTTAAAGTGCATGAATGCATCGTATCTTGTAATCGTCAATCTTGTAAACCCTACACAGTCTTTACAATAGCAGTTCTTCATCGAGCTCTTCTAAGGCTGTGCTTATTAATCATTCAACACAACTTGATCTTCTTTATGTGTTTTTGGTTCTTTACCTGTTTGAATCTATTCAATCATTCAAGTTTGATACATAACAATTGGTATCAGAGTGGGAGACTGTGTAATCCATACGCATCTCTTCTATTAAAGAGCTTTTAGGGTTTCCGCTTTAATAGGATCTGGAGTTTGCCGTTTTCATCGATTACACACGTTGAATCTTGATCTTTATTTTACCCTAAACTCAGTTTTAGGTTGACACATCTAGTTCTTACAGGTTTTTATCAAATCGACAACATGTAGCCTGACGATTCTCACGTTAACTCAATCAATCTCTCAAACCGTATTGGATCTACAACAAGGATCCCTATACTCTTTCCAAACGATTATGAAGTGTGGGCACTGCACTTTGAGGATTACGTGCTAGGGCTTGAAGACAATGGTTCCTTGAAATGGGATGCAATAACGAAGGATACATTTTCTCACACAGGTACAAAAAGAGTTATTAAAACTCAAGCAGAGTACAACGATCTTCTTCTTGAAGTTGATGATATACCTAAAGATGAAAAAGACAAGCTAATCAGCAATGTCAAGGCTATGAGGATCATTCGTTTTGATTTGCCAGCCGACACATTTCGCTTAGTAAGCTCCTGCGAAACTGAAAAAGAAATATGCGATAC